TATTTGGATCATCCATCTATTTTATATGAATTTTACAAAACTGCATATTAATAACGAAAAGTGTGCAAACAGCCTAAAAAACCGACCGGGTCCAACCACTTCGAGTCATAATTGAATTTTCGACCGTTCATGAAAGTTGTAGTATACAGTAAGATTTTTATAACTGCAAATTACGGGCTTATTCCGACTTACGGTTTGTGACTTATACACTGTCAAAGTACGGGGGTTGCATTGTCGATAAAATTCAATGTTAGCATTACCGACTAAATTTTAAATTGGTATTCCATGATTCGTTAAATTTACATGATATAAACATACTTCAACATACTAAACACTAAAACAAGTTCATAATTGAAAAAAAAAATTGGATCGCCCCTGAGGGTAGATTCACCAAAATCGAGGCAAAGAGTGGGGGCGATAGTATATTGGTAGGGTTATAGGTCAGACTTTTCCAGGACGAATCTTGTAAGCTTTATTGATGAATATTGTAAGCTATATTGACGAATCTTGACACGGACGATTTAACAAGTCATGCCAGGTTCATGACCGGATTTGACCACACCATGCCAACTATTAACTCGTAGGCTGTGACAGTGCATTGGTAGGTTCACGGGTCAGGTTGCCCGGACAAATCTTGTAAGCTTTATGTCAGGAATAATTTAACAAGTCATGTCAGGTTCATGACCGGATTTGACAACACCATGCCAGCTACTAGACCAACTTTTTTAAATCGTAAGGGCCGATAGTGTATAAAAAGGATGTCTTGTGAAATCATATATCACAACTTCATATCAAATCCGATACAAATTCTTGTCCACTTATTTAAAGAAATGGTTGGAAACCCATCGTCTTCTCAAACAATGCTTACAAGGATGAAGGCTTCAATTGAAAAAGCCGAAGCGGAGATTAAGAAGATCATTGATGACTGATGGGCTAACAGGGAGAAACAAAATAAACACGAAGAATCTATTGAAGAGAAGAGAAAAGCTATCAAGCAATTGCAAAAAGAGATTCAAGCGGAGGAAAAATTGTGAAGGACATCGCGAATGGGTACCCAGTGATGCAAGAAATGATTAATGAAAAACAGTACAGGATGGAGTCTTGCAAACAACTTTACCTAGAAGGAAACTAACATGAATGTTATGTATTAATGTTTTTGTTGTCGTTGATGTTTTTCATTTTAATGTTACGTCTGTATGGTGTTGTTTCAGTTGATTCGCCTATGTATTGATGGTTAATGTTCATGCATATCTAAATCAAACTTTCATTTCCCATTAAAACAACAAAAGTACACTTTAAAATCATACATTTACTTACTTAAATCATAAGTATCAAATACACAGTCTTGTGTAGTATCAGGTTCAGATGGACCACAATCGCTTGGACAACTAACTGATCTTCGACAACTACTTGAACTTCCGTGCGTCGGCCTAGGAGCTGGCATCGGACTCGGACAGTTATATCGAAAATGTCCACTCTGGCTGCATCGACTGCTAGTTTTCACTATTGGTTCCTTGTCTCGTGACGGATACGATCGGGGTTACGTGGCCTGCCTGAGATTTGTATGTCCAAGGGAGGCGGTAGGACGGTCAAACCTTCGTTGGGCAACACATATTCAGCTTCTAGTAGAAGGGGAATGACTTCCTCCTCGTATGTTGCACGGTAAGAGTCGGAATTGACCCAAACAGAACAGAATTGACTGCAGTCTTGAATATCTAAACTTCGAGCAATAGAAATCACATGACCGCAAATTATTCCAGAAAGTTGCCATTGCATGCATGTACAAGTCTTAACATGCAAATCACACGTTCCTTTCTTATACCCGTCATCAACTTCAAACAACAAATCGCTGATGGGATTTACCTTCCAATTTGCGCTCCTATGTATTCTCTTCTCTAATTTGGCCTCCGCCCAAGGAGTCACTGCATTCATCATTTGCACTGCAGATATTTGATATAATTAGCATTTGTTACATAATCAAACGTACGTGTCAAAGGATGGTTGAATTTACCTCCGTTATGTCGACGTATAAAATACCATTGTTGCAATGTCGCCCGATAAAATTCAACTAACATTGTTATCAGAAGATAGCATGGAAACCGCGTTACTGAGTTGACGGACTCAGCACTATTGGACGTCATTGCACTGTAACGCAATCCAGGGAASTRYGATCGTGCCCATCTAGCGTAGCCAACTTCCTCAAGATATTGAGCGGCTCTAGGTAGACTGTGCCGCATCAAATCCATAGTAGCTTCAAAGTCCGACAACCGGTAAGCTTTGCATGCCTCCCAGAACATCCACCGTTTCCTTTTCTCTTTAGTGGAGTTTAGGAGGAGGTTCTGGCTCAGATGCCGACAACAAAGTCCGTGGTGCGCAGAAGGAAATACAATTCGTATGGCCAGGTCGATAGAGGCATCCCTATCGGTTACGAAGGTTAAATTGGACACATCACCGATACACTGCCTAAGCTTACGTAAAAATCATGTCCATGACGGGCCACTTTCTGTCTTCCCCACTCCCATTGCAATGGGTACGATCCCATTGTTTCCATCCATGCCGACCGCTAAGAACATGTGTTGGGTCAGCAGACTCGGTGTTCCCTCGGCAGGTCAAATCCTCGTCCTTAAACCCACCGCTCCTGTAGCAATGCAGGTGCATTCCACATCGGTGAGGCTAGGGAGTCTTCTCTTCCTTATAAGGAAGTGTGAATCTTCTCCTACCAGTGACGCGTTTTAGAAAACAAAACCGTGAGGGGTTGTTGCCGTGCGGGGAAACCCCGGGGCAGCCCAGAGCGGACAATATCACGTGGGCGGCTCCCTAGTGCAGTTACCGATCCAACAACATGGTGCCAACGTATGGCCCCTTCAAACGGGCACCGTCCATTATAAGAAGCGGTCTCATGTGTCTCAGAAACGATCGAATCTGCAGATGAACGAGAATAAAAATCTAATTTCAGAACATAAAATTATGACAATAATTATAAAATATAACAAACATTATTACCGAACAACCGAGTGCGACAAACAACATGTTGAATCGTCCAAGTGGATCAAGAGCGATCTCTGTCACAGTCCCCAGATTTGCTAACTTCAAATTGTGACGATAAACCGGGAGTAGGTTAAACGACGATTCGAGGGTCCCTCTCAACAATTGCAAGGCATACATCTTTGCTCGCCATGCTTGGTGGTAGGAGATGCTAATATTGAACCGTTGGTTCACATCTTCCATGATTTCTTTACCACGGTACACTCTCCTACAATCATTTAGACTCCCTACCAGTATATGACCCAAAACCTTTTTATTTGCATTACGGTGGTTTGGATGCACTTGGGACCTTGAACATGTGTGTTCATCGTGGAGCTTCCGTACCTGAAACATACTGGTCCCATCGATGGAAACAACCATCAAACGCCAATCACAGTCCGAATCTGAGTGACACACCACCTCGTACTGGTGTTTGGAAGATTTATTTACTTTCATCTGAAAGTTTTCATGAACGCACTTTAATCCCACTACGAGCTTAAGTGCTTCCTTCGAGTCAAATGTTTGGAGAACTTTGACATGGGATGTAGGCTGGTTGGAAATGTTTCCCTGTCTACTTTTGATAACTGGGTCCGGACAAGGTGGTGGGTCGGTCATACCCCAAAAACTATTCCTTACCGGCTTGATATCTTCAGAATCAGAGTTATCGTCGTCTTCGGGTATGTTCAAAATTTCAGCAGCAACAGAAACATCTTCGGCCATATCTACCTCCCACAACGGTTTTGACTGTTCGGGAGACCGGATTGGGTAAGGGTTGGGCGACTGCATCGGAGGCATGTTCAAGTCTTGAACAAAATAACTGTCAGGTTCAACGGTAACTTTTTGGTCAAGATATGAATTTCCAGCGGCATCATAAGGGAAGAAGGTGCTTGGATTTTCACCACTGCCACTGGTAGGGAAGAAAGTCCTCTGATTTACACCAGGAGCATAACCGGTAGGGAAGAGTGTGCTTGGACCATATGGGTTTGCACCGCTAACGTCGGGGAAGAGTGTGCTCACAGTACCAGGGTAAGAAGTGTTTGGACTGCCCGGGTTTGCACTTGATGGATTTCCTCCATAACCTCCATTGTCGACCACATATAGTGTCAACATTTCTGGTAAAGTTTGACGAATGACGTTGTGGAGGATTACCACATCATCGTCATCCATGAACTGATATAACGTATTCGTTTTAAAAAATAAATTGAAAGGACCACGTAAACTTAACTTTTTCGTCACACGTTTGACGACCCCAGAATATGTTATTGGTGAAGACAAACGTATTGCACATGTGGGGGACGTTATCGGAAGGTACTCTACAACACTATTTATATCTTGGAATAAACCGCCACTTTGAAGATACACACAAACATCATCACTTTGACGTGATTTCATGTTTTGTGATGGTTGATTGTGTTTAGTGGGTTAAAGGTTGTGATGGTTTATTGTGTTTAATGGGTTAAGGGTTGTGAGAGTAGAATATATGAGAAGAAAAATGAAAGGGAATATGTGAAAATTTAGGAAATAAGAGGTTGATATTTATAGTGAAATTGGTTTTAGAAAAAAAAAAATACTTAAAGACTGGATCGCCCCCCGATCACCCCCCGGAGGCGATCCAGTGACGTAGCTCGCCCCCTGGTACAGAAAAAATTATTTTTAAATTTTTTTTTCTTAAAAAAATAATGATCACACCCCAAACAGTAAGGATCGCCCGGTGGTTAAAATTGTAAATGACTTAAAAATTGGTTTTTTTTGTAGAAGAGGGTTTTATAAATTAGTTATTGTAATAATTTTTCCTTATTTCCATATGAGACGTTATATCGTTTAGACGATAACACTTACCCTGTACCATGATAAAAAAAAAATTATATCATACAACATGATAAAAAATTATATCATACACTTGTCGGGTCGGGAACTTGGATTAATTTGTCCAATCGCTCCACCTGCCTCCGCCACTCTGCCATCTGCCGCCTGCCTGATCTCATCCCATCACATCTATGCCAACAACAGACAACAGGAATCCACGCATAGAATCACACGATCGCATCACAAACCCTGCAACCAAGCCCACATAATTCTAAATCAATCGCTCCAAACCCAAAACAGATCGGTCTTTGAATGCTTTTTTTCACTGCTTCGATCACAGACGTAATCCCTTGGAAAATCGTAAAACCTTGCGTTCCTATTGAACGGCATTCGATTCATCTGTTGAAGAATTACAATCAGGCATTAGCTCTTTGATTGCAAAATGGTGTTGGTTTTATCTGTAAGAGATTATGTAAATCGAATGTTACAAGATATTTCTGGCATGAAAGTCCTCATACTTGATTCCCATACGGTACGCTTCAGATCTCCTCGTTATTAACATATTTATCATAATTGTTACTCTATGTTACTTCTTATCATTACTCGTCACTGTATTACCTACTTGTTTTCATGTTAATTGGCGATTAATGAAATTTTTTAAGGGGTTTCATATAATTTGTAATTAGTTCAGAAGCATTTTGCAGCATACGTGTTGCAACTTCTTTTGGAGTAGATGACGATTCAAGTTCATTATCTGGCTGACTATATGTGCTCTAACGACTAATAGATTCTGTACTTACGTGGGAAAATCTTGAACAAACAATTAGTATACTGTTGTGGCTTCTTGAGGTTGGGGATTAGAGTCAATAATCCACAACACTTGGGTTAATAATTATGAGTATATGTAAGATATTTTGTACTCTCGCTTGTATCTGCTAGTTGTATCTTTTGACTTCGCTTGTGAAATGAGCTATGTTCAAGTTAAAAACTGCTAGACCAAAGGCCTTTTGGTAGTCAACTATTTTTCTGGACAATAGAAAACCCATGTAGCTCATTCCAGTCCGGATGGGGGATTACATTCTAGTTTCTTAAGTTGAAGGCTTTAGGTTAAACAACATACTAACGTTCATGTGCCTTCATTAAATGATCACTATTGTGAGATATATCAAGTAAAAACAAAATTCGATACATCCCTAGAAGGTGCAACCGTTTTATATGGTGCCACCGTATCCAAAAATTATTGAGTCCGTCCCTGGTTGGTTGATGGAGCATCTTTTTTTCTATGTTATGTTGCAGGTTAGTATTGTCAGTGTCGTGTATTCTCAGTCCGAACTTCTGCAAAAAGAAGTGTTTTTGGTGGAATTGGTTGATTCCATCTCCATGCCAAAGGAGTCCATGTCACATCTTAAAGCAGTTTACTTTCTGCGCCCAACATCAGAGAATATTCAGCATTTGAAACGTCAACTGGCTAAACCTCGATTTGGAGAATATAACCTCTGTAAGTTTCTGTAGGTATTTCATTTTCGGAGGGTGAACCCCAATTGCGGACATGTAATGTACACACATATGAATATTAGTCTATCTCCCTATAGTGTTCTAAGAAGGGACCCTTTTGTCTTGTTCAAGAACTTCTCGAAATGATGTGCCTGGTAAAGGGCGTTATGATTTTCTCATGTGAATCTATTCAAACCAGGCTTATTTTGGAAGGTGCTTTGGAGTTGGAATTCAAACGAAAAGATATTTTGGAATATCAAATGAACTATCTGCATCATAAAAACTTAATATGAGTTAGTTCTAGGTAGTATGATATTTACTACCATAATGCAATCATATACCAGCCAAGTCCAGCAACTTCTCGTATGATAAATTGTGCTTGTACATTTATTGCAGTTTTTTCAAATATGTTGAATACGACTCAGCTCCATATCTTGGCCGATTCAGATGAACATGAAGTTGTTCAACAAGTCCAGGTTAGCTCATACTTTGATATAGTTTACTGGTCCATAAGTTAGACAGGGATCTTGAGTTCTTCCCTCATATGTGATTATGCCTGAAATGTTTTTCTGTCTATAGGCTTCATGCACTATAATTTTCATTTGATCAGGTTCTCTTGAAATTGTGCATGACAAAGTTGCACTTCTGTAAATATCATTCCCTTTTGCACGTGTAAACTGGTATGATTTTATTCTGCAGGAGCTTTTTGCTGATTTTGTTGCAATTGACCCCTACCATTTCACTTTGAACACACCATCCAATCATATGTATATGCTTCCTGCTGTTATAGACCCTCCAAATCTACACAACTACTGTGATCGAATTGTTGATGGACTTGCAGCGATCTTTTTGGCTTTTAAAAGGAGGCCCGTTATTCGATATTCACAGACATCTGACATTGCTAAAAGGATAGCACAAGAAGCTTCGGTGAGCAAGCAAATCTTTTGATGTCTTTCACTCTTTTCTTATTCAATTAAAATGCATAACTGTAGTGATTTAGAGCAGAAGTATTCTATTGAAATTAATGTTGTTATATGGTAGAAGGGAATGAATTTTTATCATTACACCCTGCTGATTTATTCAAAGAATTTGGGTTGTAAGACTTGTAACTTAATTTTTTTTATTTTTATTCTCAATGTGGGCTACAGAAGCTGATGTACCAGCAGGAAAGTGGTCTTTTTGATTTCAGACGCACAGAAATTTCTCCCTTGTTGCTTGTAATTGATAGGAGGGATGACCCTGTTACTCCATTGCTGAATCAATGGACTTATCAGGTACCATCATCTGTTGAGTAATGATCACAATTTATTGGCACTGCATAGAAGTTCCAATCTTTTGTTGTTTTGAAACCGAATAGCTGGTGGAAATATTGGAAACAGTAATATATATTCATTGTTCATTTTTGTAGGCCATGGTCCATGAGTTGATAGGTATTAAAGATAATAAGGTAGATTTAGGAAATGTTGGAAAATTTTCGAAAGATCAACAGGTCAGTTTTCACATCTTTATATCTAGATATAATCAACTATATATCCAGGAATTCATTGTTATTTGTTATCATTGCATCCCTTTATGACATATTAACAAGAAGTAATTATTTGTGTATGCCTTCTGAAATAGGAGGTTGTATTGTCGTCTGAACAAGATGCCTTTTTTAAGGCTAATATGTATGAAAATTTTGGAGACATTGGAATGAGTATAAAGCGGATGGTGGATGATTTTCAGCAAGTGGCAAAAAGCAATCAAAATATCCAGACTATAGGTTTGAACCAACAAAGTTCTATCTTTTGGCTCTTGCTATTAGTTACAACAGCAAAATGTATTCAGTAACTAGTAACACAATCTGACTATACTACTTTTTGTCTGAGCACAGAAGACATGGCTAAGTTTGTTGACAACTATCCAGAGTATAGGAAAATGCAAGGAAATGTATCTAAGCATGTAACCCTGGTCACAGAAATGAGCAAGATAGTTGAGGAGCGAAAGCTTATGTTAGTTTCACAAACAGAACAAGAATTGGCATGCAATGGCGGGCAAGGAGCAGCATTCGAGGTGCTTACATTTTGCTTTCCATATCAAGTCTATGCGTTCCATCTTTAAAGTAGTCATATTACTGCTGAGCTGCAATCCTACAACAATATGTGATGTTATTCACTCTTTTGACAATTAGTCTTACTTTTTGAACATTATGTTCCGACTAAAAGCTATTGCAAACAAAAGTACTTTTCTCTGTAGAGAGGGGGATGGCAAGCTAATCCACATTGCATTACCAAAACTAAGGACTTAAACACCAAATTTGTTTTGTGAAGGATGAGGTTCCTTTCTTGTACTTGTGGCCTTACTTCTCCACATGCCAAAAGTAGCTAGATGTGAATTAGGTCCATTAATCGGTAAAGATATTTTATTTATAAAATGTTTTGAAGGAAAAAAACAGAAATACCATAACAAGAAGTCATGAGGTGTAATGAGAGGGTTGAGGTGATAAGTTAGCGTGTATAGATAATTTGGGAAATAAGATTGGAATCTCATTGGAAGCCTTTGTTAACAATGGATTGATTCTGTACCTGTTGCTAAATAAAGATTAAAGAACAATGCTATCTTACTTCCAATCCTAAATCAATGTTCAACCAAGGTTGAACGAGGCATAAAAGTCAACATCCCAATTAACATAAGCTTGAATAGTCAAAATGTTCTCGATGCGGAAGATAATAAATATCCTTATTCATTCAAACATGGTTAATCATAAATCAATAAACTTGAAGCTATATAATAAAGAAATAGAGATAAATGACAACACCGAGATTTACGTGAAAGCCCAAAATGGTAGAAAACCACGAGTGGAGGAGACCACCAAGAAAAGCGCCGTAGTAAATGTTGAAGTTACAATAGTTGAGATAACACAGAGTTTAAGCTCCGGTTCATCAATGGTGGTTTTGGGGTATTTATATATCAATATTGACGCTAACCGACATAAGTAGACCTAAAAGGCAATAAAAACCCGTCATGTGCTTTAGGCGACCTTGAGGGAAACCTTGAGGTCCCTCAGGAGCTCGCCTGGTTTTACTGATGCTGCCGAACGCGATCTTGAGAAGGCCGCCTTTGAGCTTGCATAGGTTGACACGACCGTGCTGCAACATAGAGGCACGACCATGCACAATACTCCCAGCCTTTCTGTCCCTTTTGCTTTAGCATGACACAACCACTCTCAATTCCTTTGCAAACATGTCATGATTTTGCAAAATGAGGGAGGGGAGTTTGAGGCACCATTCAACAATACATCAGGCTTAGGCTTGTTATATGGGCCACCTGCACCGGAGGTGTGAGTTTTAAATAGGTGATGTATAGGGTATTATTAACTTGGGTGTTATTAAATTTAATGTGTGTACAACGGAAGCAACTAACGTATCAGAAATCTAACCAACTAAACTGGCCAACTAATTCAACCAAAGCATATAATGAAAATACAATTTGAACTTTATACTTGCCTACATTTTTTGGACTGTGAAGCTAATTCAGTTTAGGTGTTATGGATTATTATTTTGGTGTTATTAGTATTAATTTAAGTTGGAGATAATGACAACTGATGTGTACAAGGAAAGCAACTGAACTCTATCAGAAAGCTAACCAAGAAAACTGGCCAACTAATTCAAGCGAATTCTAAAAAGAAATTGAAAGTAGAATGTTAACTTATAGCATCTTTTGGACTGCAAAGATAAATCAGCTTAGAAGGTGATATGGATCTATTTTTAGTTGTTATTTTGCCGTGCCTGTTATAAGAAATTACGTATTTTCTTATTATATTAGAGCATCTCCAACAACTATGCTAAAATAGGAATTGTAGTGGTTTTAGAGATTTTTTTTGCTCGGACAGGTATGCTAAAATAGGCAAAGGAAGAGAGAGAAGTTAAAATCTCCAAATTTGGAGAAATTTCTAAAACTAAGGTTTAAGAAAGAGAAACGATATTTTAATCTTTACCACCAATAAGAGGCATTGAAATCAAATGTTTAGTAGAGAGAAAAACTATTTTATTAATATATTGCATATTTTAATAATATGATTGATGTTAGAATCTCTAAAATAGAGTAGCTGTTGTAGTTGGATGTAATTTTTCTAAGATTTTGACTTTTGATACTTTATTTTAGAAAAAATACGCATAGCTGTTGGAGATGCTCTTAAGTAACATATAGTTATGTTAAGAAAATTGTAAGTTTCGCAGGGTCACTAAAGTTGTTACATCAACATGCATTTGAGTCTCAACTAGTAGGTGTAGGCTACGGTCAAAATTAGATGTGAGCCAATCATTAGTTCCTTAAAATGAAATCATCCCTTTCATGCTTTGGTATCCAAGACCAAGTTGTTTGGTTTTTTTTGGTTGTTCAACACTCTTCTTTTTACTGCTGTGGAAGGTATTGTAAAATGTATGTTATTGAGAATAAGCTTCTACCATTATGACTTGACCCTTGTTCTTGATTGCATGTCACACAAAATGATTGATGTTTGCCTTTCTTCTGTGCTATATAATGAATGTTAGTTAACTTCAAATCTTAAATCAATGTTCAACCAAAGTCAAACTAGCCATAAAAGTGAACATTCCAATGATCATAAGCTTGAACACTCAAAATGCTCTTGATGCAGAATATAACACAGATCCTCATTCATTTATACATGGTGAATCATAAGGCAATAAACTTGAAGCAACGTAATAAAACAAAAGAGACAGCAGATAACACCGAGATTTACATGAAAACAAAAAACGAGGAAAACCATGGGTCAAGGAGATCACGGAGAAAAGTCCATTAGTAAATGATGAAGTTACAATGCTTGAAAGTAAGCCACAATGGACAAATCAATTGAGGTTTGAGAGTATTTGCATATCAATATTGAAGAAGATGACCATTGAAAATAGCCCTAATAGGCAATAAAAACGGATCAGATGCTATAGACGACCTTGAGGACGACCTAGAGTCTAGCTAGACTGGTTCTTTTGACGTTGGCAAATGTGATCTTCAGAAGGTCGCTTTTTAGGTCCCATAGGTCAACACGACCTTTCTACAACATACGGGCACAATCGTGCATAAAACACCCAAACTCTATGTTTGATTTGTTTTAGCATGACAAAACCGTGTTGAATTCTTTCGCAAACATGGCACGATCATGCAGAATAAGGGAGGGGAGTTTGAGGCACATTCAACAATCTCCATAAATTCTCTCAAGTAAGCACACAACCATGTAACATATCTCCAAGCACAAAGCTTCAAAACCTCCCACCGGTAACCAAGGTCATGGCTTCAAACCTCACCAACAGTGAGGAGTATGTGTGAGTATTTCCATATACAAATATTGTACATTCTGCAAACTCCTTAGAATCGTTTGAAAATTTCAATCATCAACCCCTGAAACGTACTTGTTGCATCTGCCAACCTGAAATGCATAACCAAAAATTCATGCATAACCAATAATGTTTGATCTCTTTTTGTACTTATGCCTTGGATTATACTTCTTATTGGAACAATAACAGTCTCTACGCCCTTTTGTGCTGCAGTGTCTGATAAATGATGAAACTTGGCCCTCCGTTTGTTTGTGGAAATCATAGAGTTCCTCACTCCTACTCGGTCCACTTATACTACTTGGAAATTTCCTCGTATTCCAAAACATCGACCTCTTATTTGTACTCAAAACCTTGTTCTTCTCTTCTAGTTTGGTAGCTAGTTCCATGGCCTCTCCTACAACGGTTGGTGGATCAATCTCGGTTTTGCCCGAATTTTTAGATCCAATCCATTTACAAATTGACTTAAGATACCTCCTTCAATACGCCACACTCCTTGTCATATTGTTGGATTTAAACTGTTCTGATACCAACTTGTTACATACCCACCTATTATATTGCCTTGTAGTAGAAAGAAAAATCAATGTTAGTGCATTGGGAATGGGAGCACCTTGGGGCAAGTGAGGCTATTAGCTATTCTTTTGAGTGGGCAAATCGGTCAAGTTATAGGGGTAATATGTTACGAGTCCAGTTCTCTTGGTAAAAAAAAGATGGGTCGTGGAGGTTTTATGTAGGCTATAGGGCGTTAAGTAAGGTCGCTATTCCCTACAAATACACAATTCCGATGATCGGTGAGCTGTGGGATGAACTACATGGATCACATATATTTTCCAAGTTGGATCTGAAGTTGGGTTATTATCGATGATCGATCACTCTTTCTTTGAAAATTGAATCAAATTTCAATTGGATGTCAACTTTCTCACCCTCTACTTCACTCAATTTCTTTTTCAATATAAGAATTTTTTTCTCTAATTTAGCTTTTTCAGATCTAAGTTGTTCTTTTTCTTGTCTCAGATCTTCACATAAATCTTTATAACCATAACTTTCAGTTTGAAATTTTAACATTAAAGCTCTTTCATTTTTTAGTTTCTGTTTTAAAGAAATAAATTCGACATTCATAGACTCAATTTCAAGAATAAATTCAGAATTGGAAGAATTGAGTACCTCAAATTCATTCTCGGATGATGATCCTCCGTCTTCATTTTGCTTAGCCATTAAGCACAAATTGACTTGTGTGAAATGAGCAGCCTTGTCATTAGATGAATCTATCAACCTTCTTTATCTGCTATCAGCGCTTTGCCATCTTCTCGAGTTTTGGCCAAATATGATCTTTTATGATAGTAGTTTGAATCTTTAAACTTTCTGAAGCGGTAGTCTTTGACGAAATGACCAGTCTTGCCACAGTTGAAACAATGGTTGTTTTCAACTTTGATTTCTTTCTGGTCTTTCTCTTTGGCTGTCTTATCTGATTTATCTTTCTTGCCCCTACTCTTATCATACTTAAAAGCTTTTTCTTTCCAAACATCTTTTGAAATTTCTTTGTCAGCAAAGCCAGCTTCTTAGAGAACTTACTTATGTTGTCATCAGATTCAGCAGATGAACCTTCAGCAGATTCACTTTCTTTACTCATGTTGACTTTCACTGTGACTCCTTCATTCTTCAATCTAATCTTTATAATCGGTGATCTTGGATACAACAATATTTGACCCAACACTAAGATACAAG